TGCCTCCGATTGCGAAATCATTGAAAATGCAGAAGTTTGTATAGAGTTTCCCGTTCTCATTCATTTAACCCAGAGCCTCTCGACCCATGATGAGCTCTCTTCATGTATTATCTGCTCCCAGTTCGACTGACGTTGATATCACCCATAAGGATTCTTATGTCGCCATTTGGGATGTTGTCCATTATTGTTTGTAGTTGTCTGTAACAAATCTTCCTTCTTCTCTTGTTCCTCTTTGTTTGCAGTACTGTTTGTAGCATTGGATAATTTTAACCTACCTTCCTCATTTTTGAGTTGAATCTTGCTGTCATAATCCTGCTTGAGGAGATTGGCTTCCGTAGCATTAGGGTTTTGGCTGCCACTGGTGACATCATGATAGCCACTCACTGCCTCAGTGTGTTTGTGGTTGTCATCTGGGTGACCAGACCGGAGTAGATTATTGACTCTCCAGTTGAAAATTTCCACATCCATTCCATTTGCTCTCACAGATACCAAGCACTTCTAGGCGATATCTTCGCATTTCTGCGGTTACCTGGGCAGCCTTCCCAGCCAGTCTCATACATCTTACGGACATTCCACGTCGCCATTCTTATTATTGCCTTCATCAAAAGAAAGAAGACCCATCGGCTGACTGACTGGCTTTCCGAAGGCTTTCAGTAGCCCGTGTCATTTCGCCTTTCTTATTCGAGCGAAGAATAAGATTGTTATTTGAAGTTTCTGCATTTTTAATATATTTTTGTGCGTCGACGTTTCTCTAGGAGTTTGATAGTTTTTGTTGTGTAGGGTCGCTGGCCCCACGCCCAACCCTCCTTCTCTACCAGGGGTTGGCATCGGCTCGAAAACTAACAAGCTAGTTAACTAGGCGAGGTTCAGGTAAATAGTAGAACACTTCTAACAGAGATTGGTAATCACTAATCATCATTAGGGAGCCAATTCGAAGAAGCATATTCGTGTTAACGTTAGCTCGTGAAAACTGTATTAAATTATCGGAGTTTCCGTTTGTCTGAATTCGTTGTTGATGTGGGAAATTTGAGGGGTCTAGGTCGTTTGCAAACTAGTTGGGTTCTGAGTATGTTAGTTTGACTTCTTCCTTTGTTCACCGTAATTCTCAACCATAAATGATGTATCATAATAACTGATATGTTATTATGTTAGCTTGGCACTCGCATTTAACATTTTCAGCATAATACGGCATTTAGCTAGTGGTTTGTCTATTCCGACCGTATCTAAGTAAATTATCTTCAAAGTACTATCTTCGGTAGTGATTCCAAGTTCATTGAGTGCGGATAGGAGGCTTAGAACTTATGTCAGTCATTTTCTAATAAGTTTCTGTGCTTGTTTAAACTCTTCTAAGTGAGTCAATTGAGGGCCCCGAAACCCCTTCTTCTGGGTGTTGGTTCCAGTTGTTTATGAATCGTGAAAAACAGTACTCCACAGCGATATAGTTCCCCTTTGGCCTTCGAACTTTCATGCCATTTTCTCTCAGGTGTTCCAACTTGGTGGGAAGGAAAAAAGAAAATAAGTTACGTCCGTCATCATTGTTCACATTCTTAATGAAATCTCTACCAACAGCATGACAAGGAAAAGAGATCCAAGGTGTTTAGTCTTCTATTTTATGATAAATTGACCTTGTCGAGAATGGTACATGTTGCCTTTCTCCCAACCCTTCCTCGAGTGTGAGTTCCTTTAATGGCAGGAATTGGCTGTCTGAACTCAGTTTTCCAGTCTAGACGTCGCCAAAAATGTATGCAAAGAAGTGAACATATCTCTGGTGATTCTAGTAAACGCACTGTGTGTTGCTGGTAAAGATATATTACTTCGAGCCGCCACCGCGTATAAGCGTGCTGTAGTCATTAGGTTGCGGCTTAATATGACACGTAGGTCCATATAAATCTGAACTGATGAGTGTTGTTCTCTCCACTTCGTATGAGCTGACACTTGCATGTCCAGTGGTCATGGTTGCTCACTTCGCTACTTTGATTATGAGCATCCATTTGTTGAGATGTCACAATCACCCTTTTAATTCTTTCCGAATTGTTAGGTCTTAGGGGGGAATTCAGTGGACCCAGGAAACTCGTTGATATACAGGATAAATAAGAGGGAGCCGAGTATGGTACCTTTTGGCACTCCACTATGTACCGCTGTTCAGGAGGAGAGTTTGGAGTCGGTCCTGACTCTCTGTCTTCTATTATTGATAAGATTTTATTTTGATAAATCACTCAGTGTTGTACAGTAATATTAACTGATGACGTTTTGAGCATAAACTATTGCTCATAATCATATCAATGAGCAATAGTTTATGCTCAAAACGTCATCAGTTAATATTACTGTACAACACTGTGTGATTTATCAAAATAAAATCTTATCCATAATAGAGTTATGCTCTACCACAGTGCCCAAGTTTTATACTTATATCTCTGTCTTCTACCTATAAGGAATTCCGTAATCCAATTTAATAAGCCGCCCTTGATTCCAGGACCTTCCAATTTCATGAGTAGTCTTATATAAGGTACTTTGTCGAAGGCTTTGCTGAAATCTGTGAAAATGATGACGGGTTTCCTGTTGTCCTGGTCTCGACCCACCTTTCTTTTGCCGTAAGGTTTGTCAGGCATGAGAGGTTTCCCCGGAAACCACGCTGTATTCTGAACAACAAGTTGTTTTCTAGATATGCCATGATAGCTTTCTGGATGATTTTTTTCAGTGTGTTGATTAAGGTGCTGGTGAGACTGATAGACCTGAACTTTGAGGTGCAGTGACTGGATCCTCCTTTGTGGATGGGGTTACTTTGGCGTATTTCCAGTGGCAGGGTAACACTCCACTCAAGATAGATAGCTGGGATGCCTCAGTCAGTGGACCGGGTATGAGATACAGGCTTCTTGAGGAGCCTTGGACGAGAGTCCCATTGATTTCCTTGCATCTAGTTTCTTTAGAGAATGGAATACGTTTTGTTCAATGTCGTCGAAGTCTATACCGTATTCTTTTGACGCGACGAGAGCTGATGCTATGGCGAAGGGGAGGGTGACGACTCCTATTCGGAGACTTAGGAGGAGTAGTCTGCTATTGCTTCCACTTTCTCCTGGTCTTTTTCGGTTTTGTCGTTATCGATAGTCAGGTTTGTGACCCCGTTAGATGTCTTATTCCTGAGGTTCATGTACGACAAAGTTTTCTTGGGTTGTGCCGCTGCATTTTGATCTGGATGCATTTCCAACTTCATCCGTGGCTGACGAATTCCTGAAATATCTTCGCTTCTGGCGATGGTATACAACTTTCTGGCCTCAGAAGTCATTTTTAAAAGTAACTGTCTTCTGTAGGGGATTTTCACTTGAGTGGTTATGTATGCATATCTCGTTAAGTAATCCAGGATTTTAATACAACTAGTTGGTTGCGGGTTTATTACGTAGTCTAATGAACTAAAATAGCACATGTTAAGTACGAATTACCCAGAGTACTTACATGCAAGAGTATCCTTTTTTCTGCAAAGTAGCATAATTATTTCTCCCAAGGACACAACATTTAGATTTGTCAAATAGACACTTCTACTAGTTGTTAGACTCTAAGACAGTGTAAAAAGCTTCATTTGTTACTCAAAAGGTTGTTACTTAAGAGAATCCTCTGGCACGGAGAGTAAGTCAAGGAACGTATAAGTTCATATCAATCAAAAATTATTATGTTAAGTTTAGTAGCCGTCGAGCGAATAGTTACCTGATGTGAGAGAACGAATAGTCTGCAAATTGAAATTAAGACGCATTACTTGGTCACTGCACGACATCATACAGTTTTAGTAATATGAAGTGTTAAGATAACCAAGAATAATCGATATGAAGTATGAGGGTATCTAAAACTATGAAAAGGTCCAGTGGACCATAGGGACAAGTGATACCTCAATATGCGTAACTTGTTCCAATAACCTGGTAACTGGACTGGTAACAACCTGGGAATAATATTCACCTCGTAAAATTGTATGTCGAAGGCAAAGATCACGGCTTTTATCAGTTCTTACTTATTTCTGCATAATGCGGTGATACGAATCGTGGTAATTTTAACCGTCGGCCAACTACACTGGATTCAATGCTTTCGTCGTTGATTTATCTTAGTGACCTGAATTTCGACTTTTCGTGTATACAAGCATGCAACATAGTAGTTTGTACTTATGAAACTCAAAGCTGGTTCCTATTATAACCATGTCCATATTTTGGGCCGTTTATTTATAATTGGTATTCCTTGTAAGCGTTAATTGCCCAGCGCATTAATAAGTTTTTTTAGTTCTGAAACTTGGTGAAAAACTTTTAGCTCCGGTGAACACACAACTGCTTCTTGTAGTTCCTATAGGTTGAAACGATTCACCATGAAACTCAGTCTAAGCGAGTTAGGTTGTGGTTTGCTATCGTAGTATAGTTTATCATGGTGTCATGACAGCTGTTTTAACACAAATCACTGGGTAACATTTTAGAGGTCATTCGATTTTTCACTGGGACACTATCAGATGTCTTTTGAATTTGAAATAATCGATAATTTCTCAATGTGAATATTAAAACGCTAAAAATTGGTAGCCTTCGTGACCACATCTCGATCTGACTATTTTGGTGGATGGTTAGTCATGCATCTGTTTCGTAGTGACCGATAATTTTATGACTCATATTTCATTTGTGCCAAATAATAATAATCCGTCTTACTATGCATAGTTTTGATAGATTTCACTTGATTTTCCACATTGTTCTCATGAATTTGTTTCAGTGACGATATGGTGTTTAATGCTTTCCTCTCTTTTATTAGCTTGACTAATTTTAAACAAAGAAAGGATATTCTTTATACCTGTTGCTGACCCCCAATAAAATACGCATCAGACCAGAAAACTACAGTCTACTTATCTGGAGCATAATACTTGAAGTCATTATTGCTATCATTAATTTTTTATTGTACTGTCTTTGGACACATCACACATATTCTTATTTGGGTTCCCTGCGAAATCAAGATTTTCTCAAGAACTTATTTGACGTGCAAATATGTCAGCAGAAGCAATAACGCCACAACTGAGACAGAAGGTGCTGGAACAACTGTAAGTTCTTAAACCCTAACAGTTATCTGCAGTTACTGTATAACCTATTTTTATAGGAATGAATTGGTTTAAGAGAATATCCATAACCTTCCTTTTAAGAAATATTATTCGTTCTGGTCTAGCAAAGACTTTTCTAGTTTAGGACATGCATATCACTTTAAATAACAGTTTCTCATGACAAAACACAACGAAGTTTTACTCAAAAGATATGTTCATTCCCATGCACCTGGTTATCAAGCACAAGTGAGAGCAAGTGATACTACCCGGCTGTTTGTGAATCGTAGTTTGATCGCATAATCCACTGTTTGAAAGTCGAGTACCTAAATTAACGATCCACTTGATTACGATGTTAATTCCTGAACCACTGTGTTCATACATAACCATATATTCGTGGAAAGTTCCCACTGATTTTCTATATATATATATTCTCACGAGTCGTTTCATTTCCATAAGGATTACATCGTTACCATAGCATAGTCTAGCTAATCGAGTTTGAGCAGAAATCTAACTGCATTTGGCATGTGATTCGCCCCTGTCAAATGCAAAACGATGCTGCAAGAGTGGCCTGCATTTTCTCCTAGTTTAGGTATAGAGATTGAAATGGTTGAATGTGTTAGCTGCTTCAAACATTCAGGGACTTACGTTAGTCCTAATAGACTAATTGCTGACTAATTCTCAGCACGGATACAAAAGACCCGTTTGACATTCATCAGATTGCACAGTCTTTGGCGCCTGTGTGATATCTGTGTAATCATCAAACATTTGTATTGTGTAGCAGTTTGTTTTGCTCAAGTTCAAGGATGTCAAAGGTAAATGATATGAAGAGATTAGCGGTGTTCGATCATGGATGCCTCGGTCCACTCTGACGTTAGGTGGTATAATATGGCAATTATTAAAGCAGTTAAACATAGAGTATTAAGTAAACAGTGAAAGTCATTCGATGAGATCGGGAAGCCGCATTGATTGAGGTAGCTAGATTATGTGTTATTCAGGTCAAGCCATTGTCTCTCTCGACATGTAGTGTTGGCTGACATAAGTTTAGGTTGGGGAAGAGTTAGGGTCAGTGAAAGCAAAACAAGGCATAAATCCATGAAGTCTTTTACTGTTGGTTTGAGTCACGTAGGGAGGTATAAACTGTCTAGGGTCCCCAAAATACCAGGAATCAATAGTTGAAGACTTTGATGACATGAGTCTCAATAGTTTTAAGTGGTTTGGATGTCTAAACTTGTGGTCTTCCAGATTCTTAACATTCTCACTAGTTTTCATTCAGTTCTCTCACCACTTTAGTTTCACTACATTGCTCTACATTTTTGTGCTTTTATGAAGTACGGCACCTTGAACTGATGCACTTTTGTGCAAACTTCTACGTCAATAAGTCAACCAGTCCGTCTAATAACTTTTAATAGGTACTTCTTTTGTGTGCTGCAACCTCGTACCATGCATTTCGTACTGTCGTAGTGCTTTAATCTTAGGGTTTCGATTCCCAACCATACACTACAGGTTCATGAACGTTAAAATAAGTAGTATACGTTCTTTATATGGGAAGTCTTTCAAAACTTAGTGGGTGGACCTGGAGTCCTAGTATCTTTGATAAAATAGTGGCCTAGTCACAATAAACGATGCCTTTAATTAACTGTATAATTCGTTAAGTACAATTGTGTCTTCAATTTACTCATGCTGTTGCTAAGACGTGTTTTCATTTTGCTTATTTCCAGTCGAGAAGTAACATCAGCACGCAAACTTCCGAAATCTCCAGAGGAAATTGAAAATCTTATGCTTGAGAAATCACGTGGTGTTAAAGTAATTGTACCTATTTTGATAATCTGTTTATTTTTATGTAGAAGACTTATCTGAATCTTTTGTCGAAGGTTATAAACTCAGGTAAGTAAATTGTTGTATAATCAGAAGGTACTGTTGCACCTTATAGTATTGATTTGTTGATAATTTTAGTTTTTAAAAAGTCCAGGTTGTCTGTTACAAATGTACTTCATTTCACGTTTTCAGATTAAACATGCCTCGTGATATTTTGAAATGAAATAATTACAGTAACATATGATTGGGTTTAATCCTTCGAAAATATAAGTGGTGTAGTAGTTTCTTAGAAGGGGGGGAATTGTGTAATATTTAGTAATTCAATAAATCACACTGTAAATTGGTTTTACTCAAAAGTTTATCTGAATATCTGGAAAGTCTTACTAAATTAGTTTAGTTCTTTTTCAATTTTGCATAAGCTAAACCCGACTGATAGCTGCTGCCTTGACGTGGTGGTCGGGCTTGCATATCGCAATGACCCAATAAGCTACACTGGCTGGAACTAATGTTCCTCCAGGTCTTACCATGCCAGAAAGTTTTCTAGGATAGTGATTAGACTAAGAGATGTTTAGTGTAAGATGTTTACACTATGCTGGAGGTCTGTGGGCAAAGTCGTACTGCTGGGGAACAGGGATGTAACAGTAGTAAGGTGTTCTCAAGTGACTAGCATGTCAGATATTCTGCCTCTCCACTCTAGAGGAGGGGTTAGAAAAGGTCGACCCCAAAAATTGTACATCCCGACTTACCCTACGGTGGTACATAGCCGGCGGTAAGTTTCTAATACGGAAACAACTCTAAAAGCCAAATCAAACAGACCGTGTATGACCGGTCTTAAGCAGTTTTCTCCTGAACTCTGCGGTCACGCAACACTAATTCACTTTGTTTCAGGTACCCCAAGGAAAAAGTCTGCATAAGCTAAAAACTGTAATTCATCATCATATACTGTATTATCCTACTAAGATTATTCCGTTCGCAAGTCTGATATAACAGCTACTTGATGCGTTTGGTTTTATGGCGTATGCGGAAATCTTTCATCTGGTTGTCTGAGGCTCATGCGTAATAGGTCATTTGCATCTATTTTATTTCATTTACGTTATTAGTCTCAATATTCTTAGCTGCTGCTATATTTGTGCTTATAAACCAATTTTAGTCTCTAACTCCGTGAATAAAAGTGTAAAGATTAAATAACTGAAAAGAGATTAGCATTTCGAAAAATCTCCAACTGTGTTATGCACGTTTCCTGTCATAAGGTTTCAAAATTAACCACCTATTGTCTCGGCTTACTATTCTATAGACAAGTCCGGCAGTTAATTAGGGATTTTAGAGTTTACTATCATGTCGTGAAGTCATCTGGAATCACTGCGTACACTGGCACAACTCGTTTTATTCTTTAAACAAATAAACGTGGATTGTGTGAAAGGGATGACTTAGTCTTTGTAGTTGTCAAAAAAAGACTCTGGTTACTGTGATAATCTCAACAGCATTGGGGATCGGGCACTGTACGGTAACTAATTCTATGTGTATACGCATCCTCTGACCAGTCGTAAATTAATGAACATAGTTCATCATAGTTTTAAATGACTGAAAATAGTAAGTAGGTAGTTTCTTTTTATAAAGTACTATAAACTGAATTCACTAGTACTGGCTGATGGCATTGGCTAGTGGTCGCGCTAACATCGCGAATTGGTAGAAGTTAGAATTCATGGCCGTTGAGTCGGGTCCCAGTGGCTGAATGGTCTACGAGCTCGACTTGTAACCAGAAGGTCCTGGGTTCGGAACTCGGTGGATTCGTACTGCCGATGAGTCCCACACTTGGACGAAATAGATGCCCAGTACTCTCTGGTTTTCATTGGTTCTCTAACTGACATCAATCCGTGGTCAAACTTGAAACAGAACAAATACCTATAAACTAACTTTTGAAAATTAACATTAAATAATGATGAAATATATTTCTCATAGGTACTGGCGGATCGAATGTTTCAGCTAACGTCCATATTCCTTCAAATGACCCCAATATTCAGATGCAGTCTGTTGGGAATAATTTTCAGATGAGTGGACAGCAACAACCACAACAATTAATGAATACTCAAATAATTTCCTTGCCACGTTCTGGACCCACTTCAATCCAATCACATCCTCAAATCCTTCAAGTTATGCCACAAAATATGCCCAACAGCATAAATAATATGCAGCAAAACCATAATCAAATCAATCGTCCTAGATATACTATCAGTTCACATCCAGTTCAACAACAATATCAATCTTATCCTCAAAAGAATATTATTCAACAAGATGGTACTGTTATAGGATCACAGCCGACACATTGTGTTCCGATTTCAACAATAGCCAATCGTGTAAGTCCGTGAAAGCCCTTTCTTATGTGTTCACTTCATTGATAAGTAATGTTCTTACAATTCGTTATTTCGGCACAAAGGAATTTTATCCAAAAAGTGTAATTTATTGGTACATTGCATTCAAAAAATCCTAATCATTATAATCCTGTTAGTCATATAAACTAGCTCTTTTTTATTCTGAATTGTAGTCATCATGAAATGCACAGGTATTTATTTATAATAAACTTATATTTGTTTTGAACAGATACTTAATGACCTTTTTACAGGAGGAGAATACCGTTGTAAACAATAACGTGATACACTTGTTTGAAGATTAAGGACACTATCAACTATAGGGGCAGTTATATGTTGACTACCAGTTCTTCGTGAGACGCTATAAAGTAAAATTGTTATGTACCTGATGGGTACTACTGTGGTGAGAGCTGTCTGCTAACCAAAATTGGCAAACAGCAATTTACGTCAATGTTTACTCCCCAAATCTTGGTCATGAGAAAAACAAGAACAAAGACTTTGCGTGGGCGGATACGGATCGCAGATATATGGTGTGACTTTCAAAGAAATGGCCACATTGAGATGACAGGTTAACTTCCAGCGAGAAAACAACCAATCAGAAGACGCTGTCTCTCTGTTAATAATTACGAATTATCATTTACATAAAAATATATAAATATCTCTTGATTTCCTCAATAAACGATCTGTTGCCTGAGCCTTGTCTTCTGTCGTTACACTACTACTTAGGCTCGATAACGTCGCAAGAACGTGATATTGATTGATATGATCAGCATTAATAATAATGCTGCGACGAGAGTTTGATACGGGAAGGCGATAAGTAATTCGTCTGAAGACTGAATACTAAAACCCATTTCCAATCAGTCCTAACACCTCGAACTAACGCAAATACAGAGAGAAGACAGATTGGTTGTAGTAAATGACTTTATCATGCAAAAAAACATTGTATGCAAGTATTACCAATCCTGAAAAGTTCAGCCAATAAATTAGTTGCATAAGTTTGAGCCTTAAGGTTATCCAATCTCATTATAATAAGTACTCTGCTTCGGCCCGGTGGTTTAATTTTTTCAGACTGGTTTAAGTGTATTTTAGGTGGATTTAGCTGATCTTAAGATTAAACAAAGTTAAGAAGTACCCAACAGACAACTAACACAATTTTGTTTATTGTAAAGAATTCTTATATTACTTCATTAGGTATTTACATATTTGACATGTATTCTGAAGAAACTGAATCATTTTAAACTCATGAGTTTAAATTAGGTATACAGTTTTTGTAGTGCTGATATACATGAAGCTACATTGTTGCCGATATCTAATTGCTTATGTATTTCTACGTGGTTTTGCTCGATAAGTAAGCTTTAGTTTCTTAAAATCACTTTTAATTTTTATTTTCGCCTTCTAATATCTATGATTTAGCGTTTGCATCACGTGAAGTCTTCTTAAATGCATCACATTTTTTGATGTTATTCATCTAAATTCATGATCGGACTCTATGGTTAGAGTTAACACAATCTTACTTCCTTTTTAAACTTCATGAGTCAACCATTATTTAGGTACGTGTTCATATTTGCACATCACAGATATACTTCACGTCAAATCGATATTTACAATGGTTAGCTTTTCTTGTCTACTTCATGGCGTCTGATAAGTTCAGTCAGTATTCGTTTATACTATTCAGAAGGCTAGTAGGTAGTCTCAAGTCTAACTCGGTTTGATATTTAGGTGCAGTAGCATTTGCAACCTACTTACTTAGGTCAGTCTGTTTTTAATGACGTTTATGATAACCACTAAATCACAGGCACGATTAAAATACCGACAAGTTTACAAGAAGGAGTGGCAGTTCTGTATATATTCACACAGGCACTATCTGTGGTTGATAACAGCGTGGCCTTATTGAGTCCAAGCTTGAGTGGAAGTAGGAGTAGGCCAAACAGCTCAACGGTGATAGCTACTCTGGAGGTTGGTACTGGTTAGGAATAAGTTGTGATCTACACAGAGCTCTGGAAAGTGGTCCCTTGTATCTAAAATTATCTCCTTTTTGAACAAATGTAAAATACTGGTAAATTCTGTTTGCTTTCTTAGCAATTTATATATATATATATATATATATATATAATTGTTCCCTTGGATTCCGAGTGGAACATAGAGCTTCAACAGAAATATATATATAATTTTAGTTGTCATGTCGTTTTTCTTGTAATTTTAGGTTATTCTACCCTCCGGTGTTGCAGTGACCCAGTCAGGTCAAATTATCCAATGCACGACTGGTTCTGGACAACAACCAGTCCTTATATTCCAGCAACCTCAGACACAGTCTATTGCACAAATAACTGCTGCATCCTCCGTTGACCAATCTATTCCACGTCAGACAATTATTAGGTAGGTTTAAATGCATCAAGGCTTGATTTCATTTCATAGATAAAGAAAACAGATAGGGTGTTTATCAAATCTTATCTTAATGATAAGAAAGTATATCCTGTTATGTGGTATAAAAGTGTAGCTTCCTGGTTCAAGCGGCATGTTCGCCGTTCAAACCTAGATTTGCCTACATTATAAGTCTAAGCACTGTGGAGATGTCGCCTATTGACTTAAGCACTCGATTTTCAGCTAATGGTTCGCGCGTTCGGATTTCGTCCCGCGCTTACTTCAGCTTTGGTAACTGTTTAGTATCATTGACTCTTACACATAATAAGTGTGGCTCATAGCCCGGTACCAGGTGGCTGAGATCTGACCAACCGACTGACCAGTCTAAGCGTTAGATTAGTATAACAAGTCACCACACACTTCACGTAACCCACAACATAATTAACCAATGTGTTTCAGAATGCTGAGTCTTTGTATTTGTAGTTTTCAGCTTTTTGGTGCTAGTTGATGTAGTTTAGATAGCTAGTGTATCTTTCAGTCTGTAGATTACAATAATATGAAGTTCTAAGGATATATAAGTTTAATATTTAACTCAAGCAGGTATTGTTGTAAAGTGTTCTTGAAAGCAATTATCACTATTGATTTATGAATTTACCGGACTAAGAAATTGATCCAGTAACATGTATACCCCTTATTCTTGAAATATGATTTATTCGTCAAGAAATAATTGATTAGAAGAAATTTCTTTAATCATAGACTTACTGAACAATATTTTGGCATTTAAAGGAATGGTTCGAGTCTTGATTCTTAACGAGAATATCAGCAATCACTATGATGTAAGTAGATCCAGATAATGACCATCGAATAAGACTAAATATGCACTATGAATTCCACTGGTAGTTATATATGAACTGTGAGACTTGGCCATTGAGAGTAGAAGGCTTGAAGAGACTAGCTATCTTGGACTATAGGTGTTTGTGATCTATCTCCCGTGTTATGCGGTGTAATATGGTGAGGAATATTAAGGTTAGACGTAGACTTTTAGGTGAGGAAGGAAAGTCAGTTGATAAGGTTGTGAAGGTACATCGGTTAAGATGGCTACGGCAGACGTTACGCATGCCAAGCTATTGCTCATCCTGGATTACACTGCTAGTCACCATCCACCAATTAACCTCTAATTACATACCCAGACATCGTCGAAGCATCTGTTCAAGAAGCCGACATGTCAACCTGAGACCAAGCACTTCGGTCCAATCAATCAACGGGAAAATTTAGAATTGAATTAAATATTAATATGACCCGTTGCACAATAAGTGGCTCTCGTCGCCCAAGCGGTATAGTGGATAACGTTTTGGCGTTTAAAACTATGGGCACTGGGTTTCAGCCTCTGTGGGAACATCACTCATTGCGAAATGCAGGTACATCCGGATGACGAGTCCCAGATAGGACGAAACGTCCATCCTGGATACCACTGCTACTCACCATCCACCAATTGCCTTCCTCGTTGGGCAATGTTAACTGACATAAGATAAGCTTGGAAAAAAGTTAAAGGTGGTCAAACCAAAACTTGTCTTGAGTTCATGGAATCTTTAACAGTTAGTTTAAGTCTTTTAGGGAGATGTCTTAAGACTTTAGTAGGTCAGTTATTGATTTACTCTTGCGCTGATTTAAGTTTGTCAAAAATATTCAAAAAGAAATATATTAAATTTTAGATTTGTATCCCGTAAATGAGAATTCCTGCTTTTTTGAACTCCAAATTCTAAGTTATATTTCCTAATTTCAGTCATTATTTTTAGTGATATGAACTTTATGACGTTACCTGTTGTTGCTAATATATTACTTTTGCCTATTTCAGTTCTCAAGCTATGGGACCATCCAATTCTATTAAACCAGTAGTATGTCAACAGGACAATATATATGGTATGCATTTGTATTTGTTAACTGATTTGTTTTCCCTAATATCATACTGTTTCCTCCCTATATAAGAATATGCTTCTTTTCATTGATGAACTAAGTGGAATTTTATGAAAAATTAAACTCTTCAAAACCATATATATCCGTTAACAGTTATTTAAAATATTTCCCACCTTTTAAAGTTCCTTTGAGTTCCGAGTGGAACATAGAAATTCAAGCATTAGGTCTAATGTTCCAATAGTGGTGGTGTTTTTTTTACGGGAGGTTGTTTGCTAGCCTCACTCCCCCCCTCCCCACTTTACGGGCTGTACCATCGACTAGGTGAGGTTTAGGAGTGCGTTGGTAGCCGAGAGTGAAACCCGAATCACGTGCGTGCTTGGTGAGCACTCTACCATGGAACCATCGATGCACATTTCTACAACTTAACAAGCTCATAATTACTTTTCAATCTGTTGCCTCCTATGATATTCGGTTCTGTAGAGAGATTCCATGCTTTTCTTGAGTGTTTCATTGTTGTTATTCATCTTTTTGATTTCTTCCACATATAGACTTTCACCAACCAAGTAGTAAATTGATTCCATTATGGGTAAATTTTGTTTTGATAAAGTCTCACAGTGTTATACAGTAATGTTTACTGATAACGTTTCGAGCACAGTTTATTGCTCATGATCAATAAAACCAAAATAAAAATAAAAATAATTGTGAAACTGGTAATAATAACATAAATAAGAGAGAATATAAGTCATCTACAGTTATACCATCAGCGTCGGTGGCATAGCGGTTAGGACGCTCGCCAACCATCCACATGGTCCGGGGTTCGATCCCCGGTCGGCGCACTCCTTTACCTTGCTTAGCCATAAATAATGCTGGTGAAGAGGAAAGGTTGGGCATGAGGCTAGCAACCCCATCCCGTAAAATAAACACTGCTAAAGAAACTTCAAGCCACTAGCTTGAAGCCCTATGTTCCACTGGGGAACGTGAAGGAAAAAAAACGTTATACCATATAAAGAGGGGACATCTGAAATCCTACGTAGGATTCTAAATAAAGCAGGAATTAGGGTGGCAATTAAACCTACAAACTCATTCAGGGACAAGCTCTGTAGGTTAAAGGACCCAGTTGACCGAATTAGACAAAATAATATAATTTACAAAATACCCTGCAATGACTGTGAGGTCAACTACATAGGTCAAACTAGTAGATCAGGAGTAGTCAAATTGTCAGGACATTATTATTTAGCTAAGGTAAGAATGGTTGACCCCGAGGAGATAAGTAATTTAGAAAAAAGCTGAACAATTGCAATGCATGCATTAACACAATAGGGTGGGAGAGGGTTAAAATTCTAAAAAGTAATCTAGGTAGGTGGACAGACAGGTTGATTACTGATTCCTTGTTCATCGAATCTACACCCAACACCTGCAATAGGAATGATTCATCACTCATACCCGAAATATTGAAAATGTTACTACCAATCAAATCAAGTGAAAAACAACGGAACTATATAAATGTCGTGTGATTACCTTGATATGATTATGAGCAATAAATTGTGCTCGAAACGTCATCAGTAAACATTACTGTATAACACTGTGAGACTTTATCAAAACAAAATCTACCCATAATGGAATTACACTCTACCACAGTGCATAGGTTTTATTCTTATATCAATAGTAAATTGATTTATTCGAATGTAATTTCTAGAATTATCTCCTTTTTTGGAAGTAAAAAAAATGTAAGCGGTGGGGCTAAAACATCAGAACACAGGAGTGTTTGGTGACGGAATTATTTATCAGAGACTCGATGTACACATATAGACAAAATATGTATACCATATATTAGAATCACTATTTGCGCGTATCTTCGGTATTGTGGTACTATTTTCTTTTGTATCATGCTTATTTGTCTTGCTTTCGTGTTTTCCATATACTACTCATAAATCGTGTCAGCAGCACACAGGCGTCTTTAGATCTAAGTACAGCCATTGGTTAGGCTACATCAGTGTGATGTATCCAGTAGCATCTTACTGTTTTTGTAAATATTATCCCTAGTTTACATCATTGAGAAACCTTTTAAACACTATCACTGGATAAGATACGATTGTATATTATTATTACTACAGAGTTTTAGTGCATAGGTTACGGCGAGACAGTTGCTGTGCATGATGGAATTAAGTATCTTAAACTTGTTAGAAGATAGTTTGTTATTATGAGCATTCCACTGAATGCATACTCTTTGTAGTAGGTCCGATTGAGACCGATGGGTTGATTGATACTTTTACTTTTTCAAAAGAATGAACACGGAACAAAGAGTACTCTTTTTTGATAAATTCATCATCAGGCTCTACAATTATTTATACATTATAATCAATGAATGAATTAGTCTTATGAACGACATTAATGTTTAAATAACATCAAATCAATAATACTGATAGATTACAGCTGAACAGCATCAACGTAAAATAAGCTGAATGTCAGAAGAATTATGAAAGATAATAGTACAAATTCATGAGTTACTAGTTTCTACTGAGGGCCGGGTCAGTAGTAGGGGCTGAACTTGTTTCTTTTGAACACAGAGCAGTGGTTGTTTGAGGCGAATTGCAATAGCCTCTGCTGTTTGGAGCAAGTGGTGCTTCGACGATTTTAGTAGTTTGTTAGGCACCCGGTATATTATGGAGAAGGATTTGTCTACGCTGGCTTTGTGACCGGTTTGCACCAGATGGTCTAATATCGAGCTGTTAATCGTTTTAACTACACCTTTACTTAGCCATAGTGGGATATGTTCTCGAGCACGAAAAATCAAGTCCCTAGAGCAACGGCCAACATAACTCGCTCCACAAGCGCAGTTGAATTGATAGATACAATTTGAAGTGGCTAGTCTAGGTACTTCATCTTTCAGTCTAGGTAGCACCATCGGTCGTGTAGAGAATAATACGTGTAGTTCGCCAGCATTAAAAGTTCTTTGAACTGATTTTCTTAATTTCTTCGTAATTAAATCTTAAAATTGTTAGAAGATAGTTTGTTATTATGAGCATTCCACTGAATGCTCTTTGTAGTAGGACCGATTGAGACACGTAGTTGATTGATACTTCTACTTTTGAATATAAAGCTCCACGTCCAAATCTAGCTTCATCTTCTTCTGCAACTGAGTCATAGAATACCGACTGCGCTCCATAACCTCTTATTGCGTAAAACCTCTATCTTATGGCTGATTTGCATAGACCATCATAGACGTAATTGTACAGCAATAACAGGATTTAAATATATGACCTGAGAAAAACCCAGCTGTACTTATATTTCACCGAGTTAATAATAAAAATATAATTACTATGATAAAAATAGAAATATCCATTTTGATTACTTTGTTATTCCTCCTTTTTTTATACAAACTATTTATCTTTGCTGTATAGACCGTCTATCTGGAAGACGTATTCGTGGTAGGTGGCGCCTCTAATAGTTGCAGTAAACTAATCTGTTTTCTTCTTTTTTTTTTAACGCACTATTTTAACCACTACACAAAAATAAATCAACAATAAAAAAAAGTGCAAATATGATTCGTTTCCACAGTTTACTATCACTATTTATATGAATGCCTAAATTGTATTTAGTTGTGAGAGTTAGTGGAGGGGGGGGTGGCGTTGAGGGACGAAAAGAAGCAGTGAAACAACAGCTTTACCTGAGAAATTGCACCTTTTCGTGTATTTGTTTGTGTGTGTGTGCGTGCTTATGTTTTGGTGATAAACTTTTACAGCTTTGTCACATTATCGAAGATGAAGAAGCAATGAAGCGATTGATTAGCTCCTCACAACTAAATGTTTTTATGTTCTTACTGCTCTGTGTTGGTGAATTCTGCTTACATTTTGCTGTGCTTTCTATATGTATACGTGTCAGCGGTATATATATATATATATATATATATATATATATTATATATTGCATGTTGTCTGAGTATTCAAATAAGTAGAAATTTACTTGGATGAAAATTAAGGTAAAGAAAATATATATTCTAGTGAATTTGAATAACCTTTCAACATGCTGTTTTGAATACTTTAAACCTAGTATGTTTATACTCTTTCTTGTGCTATTGTTAATTATTACTGTTATTCCTATTTTCAAGAATAATATAGAACTTTTTGGGATAAAAGTGTAACTCGTGAAGTGCTTATTTGCTTATATCTCTTTTTTTGCTTGTACTGTATTGCGTATATAGGGTTTCTTTTTGAAAACTATACCCCCTAGGGAAATTTCATCAATAGATGTCAATAATGATCATAATTTCAAGACTGATCAAGAACTGACTTCATTTGGAGAACTATTGAAATGTGAGGGCTAGTGATACTACTACCTGGCTGTCCAAACCTCGTGACCTACCGGTCGGAATCCGAGCTCTTAGACTAGGGAGCTACAGATCAAATGTTTCCATTACTTCTTTGTTAAGATGCATCGATAACAGTGTCTGGATTGTAGTTGTAAGCTTTGTAGATTAAAATTAAAGATGGGTTAGTAATGAAAAACTGTCAGAACACCTACAACTTCAGTTGTAAATATTTGTCATAGTACTACATATTAAATGCTGCATTTTTCGGTAGTTCAGTAAAGATGTGGCTTAATCACTTGACTTTTAGTTACTGGGTTATGGGTTCGATTCCTGCTGCACCTAATTCAGCCCAGGCAACTTTGTGTAACTGGATCACAGTCTACGTGGAATATAAGAAATTTGTTTTGGGTAGTTGAGCTATAACATGACAATATATTACCAATAAAGGGAATATAAAAGGGTAATGGTTTCGACTATTCACATCTTCAAAATCTTTGACACAGGTGACAAGTGCTATTGATTCGTGTGGCTTATTGCTAAACGGTTTTACCTAGTTCATAGTACATTTCACTAGTCTTTTTAATTTATAAATTAGTGCTATTATTTTTTTCTGATTTGTATTATATTGAAGCAAGAAGAGATCAGTGTGATGCTTCACATTTTATTCTGATAATATTTTGCGTTTTTGATTAACGAAAAAACCCCACCTAATTCTTTCTTTGTTACTATAATACGTAAATTAAAGGGTCAATGTGTTGAATAATAATACTATAAAGGAAAATATATTTTACATATTTGCACATCAACTTTTTTCGTGTACTATTGATCAGTTCAGCTTATTATTTGTTTAAAAATGCAGCCTTTCGATTTTGATTTCCGTCTAGAAAACTACTTATGTATATCTGTAACGGTAGAAGGCGAGGGACTTGGTAATGGAATGTTTATTTGGAGTTTGGTTTCTCTATATAGCCAAATTATATGTACACCTTATCTTCAAGTCACTGTTTGCACATATCTTCCGTGTTGTGCTACTTTTGGCCTTCACATATGGTGTCTCTTTGTGTCCCTTTCACGTATCTCCTCAACGTTGTATCACTTGCTTTCTCTGACATCAAATCTATCTCCCTGTTATTTGATGGTTTTTATGCAAACGAACGTCTCTTTATATACTACTGGTAAATCTTATCAGTAGCACACACCACATGTCTACTAATTATGTTAATAAACCTGTTATATCTATTATTTTCACAACACGAATTAAGAATATTAGAGTGTAGTCTTCTTGAAGAATCGCAGAGTTGGAGGTAATCAGTAAAATGGGATTATGAGCGTGTTTTGCCTTTTGTGATTTGTTGTTAGCAGTCGTTATCCTTTTTAATTTCATATTTTGTATATCATTGATGAAAGTAGTTGACTTTATGCAAATAATATACATTAGTCGTCATGTCGTGGAGGAATTATCCGTCTTACGATTTACAGTGTTAGACGAAGATTGATTATATTCTGCTTTGGTAGATATAATAGTTAGTCGTTATTCTTAAGAGGCATAAAATAAATTTCATTAGTTTTAATTTAGATTTCATCACTAACCGATATCACTTGGATAATCATTAAAAACTAAGCAGCTCTGGACACTTGTTTGGTCGTGCGTACATTGGCACTCTTTAACAGTGCTTACCCACGACTCCACTAGTGACAAAGTCTACACTGAGAGTTATCGAAATTTCTACGAAACCGAAAGTCTAAATTTCTATATATCTGTGACATCAAACTGTATACATTGAATTTACTTAGTGTTTTGATTCTTAGTCATACTGTCTAATTGGATTAGACAATTCATAGCCTCTGCCAGATAAGTCCTATTCTCCACCTTCACTCGACGGGGTTTTCCTCATAAAAGTGAAAGGGCGAATGTGAACGTCTGGCGCTTACAGTCGGACTGGTGAACATTCTTGTCTATCTAGCGAAGCTGGAAAACTCTGACCCAAAACCTATGATATACATGGGCTCTAAAATCAGAAAAGATTGAATGGTGTATGAAGTTGTTTTGGTCACTGGGATCCATGGGAACGCTGCTCCACTGCTTTGTGGGTCAGACTTCAAGTCGAAGACTCGAGATGTCACTCTCTCAAGACAGTCACCTGCTTCAGTCCGGGCGTTCGCGCAGTATCCAAGCCCCTCGCACAAACTATAGGATTTTGTTTGGCTCATCCCTTGATGCCCATAATGTACATGTTTGTGTCCCAATAATAATAAGAACCGATTGGATTAGTGGATTCGTATAAGCTTCAAACACATCACAGTATGCTTTTGGTAACTACACCCATTGTTTGTCATTTTTACTATAGATTATGAAGCTAAAACCACGGAATAATATGTTCGAAGGTAGTTAACTGTCTCCTTCATTTGCAACTGACAGCTACAGTTTTAGCTAGTCAGTTTAGAGAAAAAATTTATAAAATCTCATATGAGACAAAATTTAATTCATTACTCGAAGAGACTTGCATGTAAAATTTATCTATACATCATGTATGAGAATGTTTTGCAAATTTTTTTTAGTAATATAACACCCTACCGATGAACACATTAGAATACGTAAATTTTTTCAAAATAACTATTATGGATTATCAAATAAGCGCTAAAAATGTCGTTAATATCATGAATTTGTTTGTAGCAACATTCTTGAAGTGTTCATCGGGTTATTTACTCACTATTTATAGGAAAATTATAACTCCATGAAATGCAATTAAAGTGAGAGGATTTTTATTTAATGTAACTATTGGAAATGTTCAAGTGTTGGTTTGTGGGGATTTGATTGGTTACAGGATTTCATCATGAGGTGACATTAGTTAGAGAACCATTGGATAACCTGGGAGTACTGGACAGCTGTTTCGTCAGCCTAGTTTGGGAATCTTCAGCCGTATGCACCCATTGCCAGGGTTCGAATCCAGGACCTTCTGGTTACAAGGCGAGCTCGTATACCATTAAGCCACTGGGACCCGATCCAATGGCCCATGAATTCTAACTTCTGCCAATTCATGACATAGTGCGACCCCTAGCCAATGTCTTCGGCGAGTATATGTCCTCACACCCAACCTGCTGCACTTTACTGGTCACGACTTCTCACTAGAACCCCAGGTAACTACCTACCTGAATAGGTTCAGTCGCTAGTGAGTATCTCATTGATATTCAAGTATTGGTTTGTAGGGATTTGATCGGTTACAGGATTTCATCATGAGGTGACATTAGTTAGAGAACCATTGGAAATGTCTACTTCCAACTTAGTAACAAGATTCATTACTTGATACACATTGCAATATATTGGAAAAAGGTCTAACAGCTTCAAAGGGTTAATGACTGTATAATTCAAAATGCGAAGCTCATCTTATTCAACCTTAATCACTGTTGATGTTAAAACTAGAACGTCAGGTTACTTGAAATTTGTATGGTGTCAGCAGTTAATTTTAAAGTTAGATCTTAGCTAATGTATTGGTTCTCATGGGGTAGCTATTTAATGATGTCTGCACATTCATTGCATCTGATTGTTCTTCACTTTGTTCACAACTGTAGTAGGATAACAGTCACTGCATATTTCAGACAGTCCTGTAAAAATTCTTTTCAGACTCATAAACATCGTACAGCATTTGACAGGATTTTTTCCTGATAATTTGCTAGCCATTTCCAGGTGCAACTCTGTAGCGTGTCAACTACATTGGTTGATCTTCTTCAATATTGTGACAGAAATCTATGGGATAATAAACAGTAAAAATGAGTCTAACCTAAAGTCTACTTTTCTTGTAATGATGTAACTGTCTTCTTCGCAATCTTTTATTATTATTATATAACTTTACAATTTTATCTTAGTTAATATTATTTTAATGATATAACCACTTGTTAATCTGGTTCTTTTTCATTCCATCGTCTGTTAGGAGGTTGCAGTGATTAAATCCACTTTTCGTATTTTCTTTTGGAGCTACTTTTATGTTATTATGTCTACTTGTGTGTACTCTACTTTTTTCAATTTAAACAGTGACAACATCCAGTCCGAATGCTGTACTCTTTCGAACATCGAATTCTGGTTGTCTTACAGTTATTAATCCATCAGGTACTACTACTGCTACTACGAATAATAATAATAATAGTAGTAGTGATTTATCCAATATTAATAATACAGGGCAACAATCACTACAAAGTATTAATGATACTTCATCAAGTATATCTACTATATCAGGGACAACTGTTTCAAAGCCTATTCTTACAGTATTACCAGGTCCTGCTGGTACACAAGCAAAAATTATACGTCCAAGTATATCTCAACCATCTAAAGTTGGCATTATTTCAAACAGTCAAATTCAGCCAAGATCAAATACACCAGTTAGTCAACAGTATCAACCAAGGCCAAATATTCAATCAAATAATAATAATAATAACAATAACAATAATACTACACCTGGAGTATCAAAAGTACAAGGTTTTACACAAGGTAGTACTAATTTAATTTTTTGTACTTATCCTACTAATAGTTCTTTTTGATTGCACACTAGTCAGTAACTAGTGTAATGTGTCTAGTCCTATCTTCGGTGCAGACTGAATTCTATCAGTCATGTTTGCAATGTGGCCACCATGCTAGGTGGCTCGCCATTACGGTGCACTGTGAATTGTTGGTATTAGATGGTTGGAGGCAATCGGCAGGAAGCTTTGGACCGAGGTTTCGTGCTAGTTGGCACTCACTAGTCAGCAAGGCGTATCTGCAACCTTGAAGGCACTCTTGTCTCTTCTGAGATTCGGACCCGCGTCACCCAGTGCTGCAGTCAGAGACGTTACCACTGAGCTATTCAGGCTCGCGACTGACCTCCTGTAGGACTGTATTGGATATTTTTGATTGCACACTAGTCAGTAACTGCCGATTGCCTCCAACCATCTAATACCTACTAATAGTTCGTTCAGCAGCTAGGAGTTAACTTTATTGATTTCTGTATAACTGACAGTTTTACTTAATGGGCAGATAGACAGAGAAAGAAGCACGACAAGACAATTATAGTGTCTACAGGGTATAAATCGCTGCACATTATATCGTAAATTATAAGACAGTACTACAAGGTAAGTCAAAGAAACGTTAAATAACGTAAAAGACAGAAGACATTATTAAAATGTAAAAGAAAGATAAAGCAAATAAGAAAATGTCATATAACAGTTAAGGTGTAGTTAAGATATGAATGCCTTGGCATTGCTCAGATCAATTCAGGGTAATATCATTTAAAGTCTTAAATCATCAGTCTCACTGTCTCCAGTTAGCCAAGATCAACTTTTCTACTCAACTCAACTATAATAATAGGTTTTGCTACCAATGATCTGTGGGGTGGGGGGGGAGGGAGTGTTATTTTCTTTCTATTAGAGTGGTCAGTTTCAATGTTCATTGTGAATAGGACATTTTTCACTTCATTCACAAAGAATCTTGATTTTATTTTAAATTATATCAGTATTAGGGTTATGTCCTCTGATTTCTGTTTGATTGGGTTAATAGAAACGATTCTCATTTTTCGCAATTAATCGAACTGTGGTTCAGTAAATTGGTTATCGTTTTATATAACTGACTGACTAGTTTCAACGTAGAACTTTGCACAGATGTGCACCAGTTCGAGTTGCCACACTACCTCATTGTAGCACACAAAGCAAGATAAGGGAATAAAGAGGGATAATAAACAGAAGTGTGAAGCAGAAAGAATAGTAATATGGAAGAACAATAGAATTTTATTGGGTATTATAAATCACGAAGAGTGAATGCATATGCGCCAGTCATTGACAACGAGGATTTTGAGGTATATCAGCAATTGTCTCCAGCCTTCACTGGTTTTTACCGTCTCGAGGACCCCATCCAGTGAGGAAGTCTACATCTCCTTGCGTGGCTAGCTTAAACTAACTGTTGTGGATTTGATTGACTGATGAAGCCGTGTTTTCGTTTGGCCACCACTAGCTCTTTTCCAACCTGATCTATCCTATGTCAGTCAGCTAACATTGTCCATTGTCGAGGAAGGCGATGGCTAGGCATGCATGAATGCGTAACACATGTCTTAAGTATCTCAATCGTCGTCGATTGATTTCCCCTCCTTACCTAGCACTCGACTGATGCCTAATCTCAATATTGCTCACCCTATTGTACCACTTAACACGGGGGGTAGAACGCAGGCGTCTATGATCAAAGACAGCTAGTCTTTTCGTATCTTCCACTTTCAATGGCCACATCTCACAGGTAGCAGTACACAAACCCTTTGGTCGACAGCCAGCCGAATATCACGTCTACGCCAGAGATAACGTATGTCAAACGAGCCTTCTGTATCCGTGCTGAGATTTTGTCAGCGATCAGCAGTGGTATTCTTGTTATTATTTTATTCATAAGGATGTTACACTGAAAATTGTATTTTTTCAGTACATTTTTCATAGCAATAATTGTTATGATGGGTGTATGAATGAATTTTCAACATTAATGCACTTCAATAAAGGTAGGAAATAATGAAATCCAAGGGAACTATAAAAGATAGATATATACAGGAGAAAGAAATAATTATGTAGAGAATAATGAGAACTTAATGAATGTGGGAGTTCATGAAGTGTAAATGTATCTGTTCCACTAAAAACGATTTTGAGCCACTTCTCATCAACAGTTTCCAGCTATTGGTTCTTAGAGTTTTTAGGACCCCAACTAGGTAGTCTACACTTTCCTACGTGACTCAAACCAACAGTCAAAAACTTCTTGGATTGATACCATGCTTTGATTTGACCACCCCTAACTCTTTCCTAACCTTATTCTGTTCCGCCAACATTGCTCAACAAGAAGGGTGACGACTTGGCATGCGTTATGTGTGTTCTAGCCATCTCAATTGACTCAGCTCAGTGACTATCGAAAGTTATTTGCATTTTCGTGTTTATACTCTTTTACTTTTCCTTTAATTAGTATACACTGATTTAATTTTAATTTTTACAGCTGAGGTACAACAAGCATCAGATAAAGACAATAAACCACCAGAAACATCTACTAGTAGTGGTAGTAGTAGCAGTAGTAGTAATAAAAAAGGCGGTGAAGTTAAATCCAGTGAAGTTCAAGCACAAATTGTCAATGGTTTAACTGATATTGCTAATCGTTACTTGTCAACTGTAAAACATGCTATTCAACTAGCATCTAAACGACCTGAAGCTGCTGGTTGTGTACGTAAATACATTAAATTAAAAGATATCTTAGAACATCCTGAAGCAAATCTAAATGTTCTGTCATTTGCTCAACTTCCATTAATTGAAAAATTATTACATGAAATTGAAAGAAATCCAATGCATTTAGTTGAAGAGCATTTACAACGTCAAGCTAGAGCAAATGCTGCAAATTCTTCACAGAATACATCGTCATCATCATCAACACAGCAGTGAACAACACAACTGCAGCTAATACAACAACTGGCCATTCTCAGTCACAGAAGCAAGAGACTCAACAACAACAGCAACAACAACAAGTACGTCATCAGTTAAATCAACAGTCTGCTCAGTCTCAGTCTGTTGTCGCTCAAGGTCAGCAAAGACGTGGAACTGCTGTTATAAATCAGCCGTCACCAAACCGTTTTCAAGGTATGTGTATTAAGAAATCCTCATATGCCTCTGCTTTTCATTCCTATTTCTTATATATGTAACGAATAGATGAATGTTTTTTAACAGAGGTCCAGTCAATCAATCAATCAATAATTAATAACTGATACTCGTTACACTAGATGGTGGTTCTCGTGGCTCTAGTGGTCTAGTAGAGATAATGCTTTGGCGTTTGAAACAACTAGTGCTGGGTTCGAATCTCAGCGGGAATAACATCACTCACTGGGGATTACAGCTGCATACAGCCGACGAATCCCTAGCATCCTGGATTCCACTGCTAGTCGCCATCCAGCAAATAGGAAAATATGATTTCACTTCATAAAAAGGGTTATGAAAGATCATTCTCGTAGAAAACAGCTTAGCATTGATGTGTTGTAAACACATGTTTTACGGTAGTAAATTTATTAGTTTTTGAGGAAGTTCCTGGCGTTTTTACTGTTTTATTTTACGACTGTATATAACCGTGGGTTATTTTTACCTAACTCTTTTGGCACATCATTGTGATTTTTTGTTTTTACTTGAAATATGATACATCAGTTAATAATCTCTGACTTTAAGATCATACTTTAACCACCAATAAGATTGTGACGGTTAGGATTTTATAAGGTGTGTTATTATGTGGCATGTGGGGAGCGAACAAACCATCAAACATGTATTTGTTCGGTGGATAATTAGGTAAATTGCTATACGGTGTCGAAGTTGGATTTTCTTTTACTGGACTGTTGTGGGAAGTGTGGTTTCGAAAAGGAGTTAAAGGATATCATGTCATGTGTAAATAAAATCACCTATAGATGAGGTGGGTAGTGTATAGTGAACTTCTTTTAATTCTGGTAAATATTCATTGGTGGTGGTTACTGTTGGGTATTTTTGAGATTTTCGACTGTTTACAGTTGGATCCAAAATGTATGTTTCTTTTCCTTATTGTAATAAATTTGACTTATATACTTTTATATTTATTTTAGTTCCCACCACTAATTTGAACACACTTTTATCCCAACCATTCGGTGCTCCCAGTCCAACTGGTGCATCAGACAGTCAACAACAAAATGTTCATCTTCGATCAACTACGCAATTCTCTCCTGCTGGTGCTAATCTCAATGCTTCCAGTACTCATAGTCCAGACGTTTCGACTGCACCAATGTCTGTACATGGAGTTGGGGCAGATCATAACCGATTGCCACATGTAAACCGCATTGCTACCTCGGCATCGTTACTTGGACAATCTACACAAAGTAGTACTGGACCAACAGGATTTTATGCCAGCTTGCAGTCAATAGCTACAGAGTTTGAAAAAATGTCTGATCGTATGTCACAAGATCGAATTTACTCTCGTCGTGTTTTTAGGGCAATTCAAGAAGTGAGCATAATTCATATTATGTGCTTACTAATTTGATATGAACTACTTCATTGTAATGTTGTAATTAGTTTTTGAATCATTTTGGCGAAAAGTGTACGTAGAAATTGTCGTAAAGACTCAGTTGTATAAGTTGTACATTTTTTTGAACTTAAAGCCAACCAGAAGATTTTCAAACGATTCACATTCTATAGATGTTTGTCTTACAACGGTATGAACAGTTAATTTGTCGAAGATTATTTGACTTTTCTGTATAACTGCCTACCATCAACTGAAGTATATGCATAAGCTTTCTGTTGTCATATTTTTTACATTATAATGTCTTTTATCCTTAGTGCTGTTTGTAACATAATAATCAGTTGTTTTAAAACGACTAAAACAGTCTAAGTTTTATCTGTTGTCTGTTAAAACTAACTAAAGTCAGCGTCTAAATTTACATTGCAAGTTGTATTCATAAAACTGAAGCTTAGAAGGCAATACAGCTTTTACTACACTTTACGAATGTATGACAGGAAGCCTAACGTCTCACTGAGTAGTGTCATCAACCACTGCGCAACAAATGTTGCTCATAGCCTGGTGTATAAAGAAAATTTGTGTTCCCCCAAGCTCAATTCTATATATCTTCCGTTCAGTTTGGTGCAGTGATTGGAGACTGGTTTCAATTTTCCACGAATGGATGCCGAATTCATGTTCCCCTTTAACCTAGGCAAACTATGGATTACATTATTATCATTATTATTCCCTTGGGTTCCGAGTAGAACATAGAGATTCACCATCACATTTCCACTTCACCCTGTTCTTTGTAGTCTTTTTTAACTCGCTCCGCGATTGCCCATGAGCTTTCGTCTCTTCCTTCATGTGACCCTCTGACCCACGCTCAACTTGTCGTTTCCCGTTCGAGTTTCAGTCGAGGGCCTGGCGTGTGCTGTCAGTCAACGGCCTCCATTTCCTTCTGCATATTCGTTGGGTGTACAATAGGTTCTTGGTTGGTCCTTTGCCAGAATTCTGGGAAAATATGTAGCACAACCTCTAATCCCTTACACAACAAATGACAATTTAGTTGAATTGTTTTATTCATCGGGGCGTTAGTGGTTCAGCCGTAGAACGCTCGCCAAACATGCATGTAGTCCGGGGTTCGATCCCCTACCGATGCACTCCTTTACCTCTATGGGGCCGGTAAAGGGATGGTTGGGCGTGAGTCTAGCAACCCCACCCCGTGAAAATAAAACCACTGCTGCAGAAACTTCAAAGCTCTAGCTTGAAGCCCTATGTTCCACTGGGAGCGCAAGGGAATAAAAAAAATTTCATTCGTCATCAACGAGCAGTATACACTATGCATATAAATACGTTTTCATATATATCCTATTTGTTAGTAAATCCACCTTCTCAAATTTCCCTTCTTTTATTTTCAAAATTTTTTAAATATTAGATCACATTAGAAACAAAACCATTTCGTGAAAGTATTGGATTTCAACTACCAGAAGAGAATCTTCAATTCATTACTAAAAGTAATAAAAATGATGTTACTGACTTTGCAAATACACCTGATCCATTGACGACAACAAGTAATGCTACTCATGATAATGATTTTATTATAAATCCATTAAAACGTAAGCATTCTTCTGGAAGTAGTATTGATCAACGAAATATTCCAGCAAGTTCAAATCCAAAGTCAGATGATCAACCAATTCGATTGGATGATAATTTATCCTCCTCCTCCCCTTCATCATCATCATCACCGCCGTCAAATGATTATGAATCGAAGGCAAAGAAAGTTTGTTTGAGGACAACATCACCGAATAATAGTTCAATAGGTGGTAAACCCAGTTCACTGCCACTACCAACTAGTACTTCAGGTGAACTGCATACACCTACATTGACTGATAAAGATAGTCCGGATATTTTATTATCATCAGCAATAGAGAAATCTGATTGTCAAGTAAGTGATTTGTATATAGCGTTTAGACAGTGTATTGTGTGATGCCAGTGACAATAATAGTAATAACAATTTGAAAGGTTTAACATAAATTATGGAAATGTGGCACATTGACATAGGCATTCAACTTCCAGTTGATGGGTCCTGAGTACGAACTACACTCTACACCTACTTTAGTCTTGACAACTGGCTATTACCACCAGCTCTCTCGTAATAAGTGTGTGTGTATATGTGGTCTGGTACATGAAAAATCTACTTTGGGTTGCTGAATTTTGACTCATCACTAACTGGTATGACTATTAGCTTTTTAACCACTTACTTCTACGATAAAGAATTCATTATATTAAGAGTTTGTAACTATATGCATCACAGCAGCAGCACGTATGAGGTTCTCCCAAATACTCAATCAGAATTCGAGTGGTCTGAGCTGATTTGATAGATCTAATAGGTCGCTGATGAGCTCCCCCCAAACAGTCGAAACCACTATCCAGTGTTCAGATCACTTCTATCTAGCTAGCAAGCACTACTGGTTGATATGAGTGGTATTCAACCACTCATCTCAATCAATCAGTAGTATACAATATCACGTATTCATGCTTACTTTCTTGACTCCCGTTTATGATGTCAAGCAGATGGCGCATTATGATCTGAATGAATAATTCCACCTCCCCAAATTAAACTGGGCAATTTGCAAATTGTGAATTTGTGTGGTTGCATTCAGTCTCATTGAATTAAACAGATTATGTTATTGGTTTACATTATTAAATTGCGAATCAAATTAAGTGTTTGTAAAACATATGGCCCCGGATAAAAAAATTCCATAAGGATTTCCTGTAAATTTTAAAAGTATTCAACGTGAGATTGCTTTGAAATCATAAACTGTGTCTGTGGTGAGAGCTGGCTGCAAGCCAAAATTGTAGACAACAATTTACGTTAATGTTCACGTCCCGAATCAGGGTCATGAGAAAAACAATAACAAAGCTTAACCTTGAGAAAATCACCAGCCAATCACAGCGGAGTTAAGGTGTGGAAATATGATTCGTAGATATATGGCTTGATTTTCTGAGAAAAGGCCACATAGAGAGCAGAATAACCTTCAGCAAGAAAACAACCAATCAGAAGAGGTTGCTTCTCCACTGACAATAATGTACATAGAAATCTATAAACACTCTTGATTTTCTCAATAAACAATGTGTTGCCTGGCCCTTGTCTTCTGTCGTTACATGTCAATACTGTAAGCATAAAAGTCATACTGCCATAGTTAATGATCCGAATAGTAGTCGTAAATTATTCAGACTATATATAGTAATACCCTTTCATTAATATTGACCGATTCAGCTTTGAGCCGAGACAAAATCATTGTCTGACTTTAAAAGGCTGCTTATACAAATTGTTCAATATAATTTCGGTGTATTTCTCTGGAAGGCTTTAAGTGTAAATCATACTCAGAAATTCCTGATATTTGCAATAATATGTGAGTAGGATTAACATTGTGATGAAAAGCTTTTTCTCTTCTAATTTTATATTATTGAAAATGAGTAAATAAAATTCATAGCTTAAATTTTGTCTTTTTCTCTTTTTAATACAAGGGGGGTTCAGATGGTTCAGCAAGTAAGTCTTCACTGTTTGATGTATAAGGTTGTTCTAAAATCTGTAATTATTATTATTATTTTTGTCTACAAATATTTTAACTTTCTATAGTTGGTTTGTAAGGATTATTTTTGTTTCTACGAGTTGATCCCGGATTGATATCAGTTAAAGAACCATTGAAAACTAGCTGGGAGTACTGGACAGCTGTTTCATCCTAGTATGGGAATCATCGGCAGTACGCACCCACTGGGGTTCGAAGTACAGGACGCAGTTTCCTGGAGTTCTAGTGAGAAGTCGTGACCAGTGAGGTCCATCCAGTTAAGTGTGAGGATAGTTGTCGCACCGATGACATTGGTTGGTGGTCGCGCTAAATCACGAATTGGTAGAAGTTAGAATTCATGCGCTGGCCATTGAATTGGGTCCCAGTGACTGAATGGTATACGAGCTTGCCTTGTAACCGGAAGGTCCTGGGTTTGAACCCCAGTGGGTGCGTACTGCCGATGACTCCCAAACTAGGATGAAACAGTGCTGGTTTTCAATGGTTCTCTAACTGATATCAATCCGTGACCAACTCGTAAAAATATTTTAACATTTTATCGTATATTACCCATCTGTTGAGTGACTGACTGAGTTTATAACGTAGAAATTTGCACAAATGTGCAAAGGGGACAAAAAATCAAAAGAACTATTGTGAGTGAAAATCTACAAGAGTAAGGACGTTTAAGATTGAAAAACCTGAGGACTTAATCGATCTAGGAGATTACAAAGTGTGAATGCATCTGCTCAAATGAGAAAGACCTTGATCAATATGATCAACAGTATCAAGCCATTGGTTCTTTGCGTCTCGAGAACCTCCGCAACACAGTCCACATATCCATTAAGTGACACATCAGCATACTATCTTCAGCTCGATAAATAATGCCGATTGTCTGTATTATTTAGGAGATGTGACTCATTTGCTTTCATACTCGCTTTTCTGTCAATGGGCCTTTGATTCGAGTCCTACTCGACTTATTCAGCCTGGGCAACATGACAGTATCACCCCAGGCCTGCTTGAATCACTGGGCTACCTGAATGCATCGTGTTTAACTCTATTTCATATTATTTTAATCATATAGTTATGTTTAAGAGTTGCAATATGTGCTCAGTAATATTTTCAAATAGTTTTCAACCTATTACTACGAATTTTCCAACGGAAAAGGAGGCGAAACATTGTGGATTATTGCAGTATGCCTCGGATAAAAATAATATCGCCTCTGTTGATTAATATATTATCATTTGTTATATTACTTAAAGATTCTGCACAAGGAGTAAATATCTTGCAATAAGAAAATTGCTGAAAATACTGTACTGTGTGTGTATGAATTCATCTTTCAGAATAGAGTTTTCCTTATTATTAAAAAGATATGTTTGGTTCACAGCTTGATATACAAAAAGATCTATTCCGAGTACATTGTCTGTATTTCAAGCTTCTATATGTGAAAAGAAAGTTGCAAAATGATTTCAGTTTATAAAATCATTTAAAATAAGAATTTCAGTTGTTTGTTGTAGAGTAGACGTTTCATGATACTTAATTTACTGCTATCGTAATTTGTAGTTCCCTTGAGTTTAATTAGATGGCACATAAGGCTTGAAGCTTGAGCTTTAAAGTTTCAGTAGTGGTGATATTACTTTTTTTCTACGGGATATGGGGTTGTTATTCCTCACGTCCAACATCCTCTCTTTATCGGGCTTAATACCAGCTAATAAGCGAGGTTTTAGAAGTCCGTCGTAGGCCGGGGATCTAACTCAGACGACGTGCACGGTTGGTAGATATTCTGTCATTGAACCACAGACGCATGAAGATATATTAAATTTAATAATATCGTGTCTAGTCATCCGACTTGTGTTGTGTTCATACCGCCGTAGTTTTTATTTAAGAGCTTTAATGTCTTCTTTATGTTGGTGTTTTTGCTTCAGTTAAGTAGTGGATTGTTTATTTGTCTAGTTTTTTTCAATCTAATTTTAATTCAATAAACATTTATGTATGTATATATTCTAATTAAATGTGTATGACTGTATAATTAGGGAGGGCATACGGTAAGTTGAATGTTGATATTGATTCATACAGCTGCTGTGTATCAACTTTATTTTTCCGTTCACTTCATTCAGTTTGATTTGTTATTGATTTTATAAAAATCTTTCTTTTACACACACACACTCATACATATTTGTGTATATAAGCAATACTAGACCTAGTAGGTTCTAGTTAATCACTTAATTTATTTTTTACTGTTGGTCATTATTTTCAGTTGTAATTGTTTCTTTTTGAATACTGGACTTTTAATTTTTCAGTCACTGTTTTCAACTTGTTTCTACCTACCAAGCACTTGACCCCCGTAGATAGTATCATCAATTCTCAAACAATAGATATAATTGACTGAAAAGTTTGTAATGATTAAGTATTTAGTTGTTCAGTTGGATAGAGAAGTGTACTTTGTCTATAGTTAGCGTGCGTGTGACATTCAGAACCAATTATTTGGGTAATTTACATAAGACTATGGCTCATTGGTTTAGACACTTGACTTTCAACCATAGGGTCATGGGTTCGAACCCTGCTCCATCTACCAAGGTTTAGGAAGCCAGGTAGTATCATTAGCCCTCATTGCGGTGTAGAGTTAATCGTAATATGACACTGCTTTCTACTTCTTTTATCTTAAAGGATTTTTATGGCTTTGTCATATGAATTTTGTTCCTTTCTTTCCCTGTTTATTCCTTTATATTTGATGTGAAGTACGATGAATAAAAATTAACAATTATTATTGTTAAGTTCTATCTTGACAATGTTTGTAGCCTATGCTTTGATCCCGGGATTATTATTATTTATTATTATTATTGTATCCTTTAATTCCTACAGGAACATAGGGCTTCAGCCGTGCGTCTCCATTGCGTTCTGTTCTCTGCTAGAGTCTTCACCTGGCTCCAAGTTTGCCCACACGTTTTCATCTCCTCTTCACATGACCTCCTCCAAGTCACCCTTGCACTGACGACAAACTCGCCGCTTCCCTTTCGGGTTCCACTCGAACAATAGCTTGTCTAGTGATGTCACTTGATGGTTTCCTCAGAGTATGGCCAATCCATCTCCATTTCTTCCTGCCTATTTGTTTCACAATCGGTTCCTGGTTGGTTCGCTCATTGCCAGAGATCCCTCTCTGCTGCTGATCTGTTCTGGCCGGCCATCTGATCTTGAGTATTGAGCGAAGACAACTGGCTGTTAATGAAGGTCTGTAGTTTGTTTGAGATGTTCTTTATGACGCGCAGTACAAGTCTCTGATCCGTATAGTGAGTAGCACTGACTTCACATTGGAGTTGAAAATCCGGATCTTAGTTTTGATGCTGAGTAGTGCTGTTGACCTCCACTCAGACTTGAGAGTAGTGAAAGCTTGTCTTGCTTTTCCGATTCTTGCTTTGATATCCTCATCAGTTCCGTCCACCTGTAGTTGAAACGATACTTCCCAGGTAGGTAAAAGAGGTTGTTTCTTTCAGGTTCCTCCCATTTATGCTGATTGTTGTCAGTTGTTTTTGTTGCTGTTGGTGGTGTTGCCCAGGAATTTTCATCACCTCTGTCTTCTCTATGTTCACCTGAAGTTCTATCTTTGATGCTTCTTCTGCTAACTTGTTGCTTTTCGCTTGCATGTCTTCCAGTTTGTGGGATTAATGAATTGTAATTCGCGTTGAGGTTTTTTGGTTCATTGGTTTAGGTGATTTACTTTCAACCAATGGATCATGGATTTCATTACTGTTTCACTTATCCAGATTCGAACAATTAGACAGTATTATTTAACCCACATACAACAGATGTGGTACATTGGCTAAACACATAGCTATTGGATGAAAGTATGTCCAATGAGTAAAGTTCACTTCATTCTAGCAAAAATAAAGATGTGTAATACGTTTGGAAAAGTTGATGTCACACTCGTTGGTGGTGGCATTCTAACATTTTACTAGTGAAGAAAACATTCAGTGGAATATTTAACTGCTCACTTGAAATTGCTCTCTACCACTAAGTAATTTGCAAAGACAGTTTAATGTTGTATATTATATTTTTCTAGTTTACCAACTTTTCATATGCTTAATTAAACTACTAAGTCCTGTGTCAATCAGTTGTCTCATGATTGCGCTGTGCAAATGACTTTTCTGCATATCTTCAGAAAATCTAAGGTAGACCATTCTTTCTGTCCTTCCAATGTATCTGCTCTGGCAGCTTATCTTAGATTTTTTGAACACATACGGAAAAATTTGCAATTAAGAGAAAGCAAATCTCTGAACAGAGCAGTCATGAGACATCTGATCAACTCAGGAAATCAAGTAGACACCTTGGATTCTTTCAAAGGCTAAAGATTTTTGTGCAGAAGTCTCCCTGAACACTGACATATACTATTCGTTAAGTTAATTAACTTATAGAATTCATTAGAAACTTTAGACCTAAATATTCAATAATATAAATTGTTTTACATAATTTATTGAGTAACATCTGTAATAAAAATATTCTGATCACTGTCAAATGTAATGCTTACTATTTTAAAAAGAATTCTATCTATGCACAAAGTGTCATAATCACATAATGGTATATATTACCTATTGATTTAACGAGATGGAAGCTACTCACATCAATCGATAGTGTTTGCTGACCAGATCGAAGTGATCCTAAACACTGGATGACCGTTCCACTTATGTTCGGATCAAGCCGATTGGCGGTTTACCCGGTTTGACTTGCAAGCACTCCAATGGTTGGCGTGAGTGGTTTCCAACTACTACATGAAGCATTTACGCTTGTTATCTTGATTGCTATTTATGGTGGTATCAAGCAGATGACTTATTGGGATCTGAGTGTTTTTAGGGTTTCTAAGGGGAACCGTGGTGATTTTTCTCCCCCAAACTGTGTGATTTGCAAATTACAGCTTTGATTCTGCCATAATTACAGGGTTTTTTTTTCAAATAGAAGGGCTATGATAAGCTTATATGTCTTTCTTTATGATCACTTTGATTTCATGTCAAATTAACACATTTCCAGTGATATTTCCTTTGTTCTATACCCTTATGTTTATGTGTGTGTGTAATTTTGTTCTACACCTTTCATCATTGAAATTCTCTGTTGTTTTATTCTCACTACAATAATAGTAATTTTTTTGTCAATTTCTTTCTCTTTGTTGTGATACATCTATACTGGTGGTTGTGTTTCTTCATCACTCTAATCAACTGCAATTATTCCATATCAATATTATTTCTTTGTGTGTAAAATTCAGTTTTCAATTGTTAACTAACGCACAATTATATTTGGTATATATATCGTGTTAGCATTTCATCGGAAATAGTTCCGATTCAATGTAAGCGTCATAATCGACTAGATTAAACTTCTTTTTATAAAGAAACAAGTTTTTGTCTAGTTGACCAGCTTGACTTTCGTGCTTGTTGGCACTTCAGTAAAGCGAATCTGCAGTTATTAGTAGATTAGTTCTCAAGGCGAATATTGGTTCGCTTAAGACTGACTGACTGCTTTCAACGTTGAACTTTGCACAGATGTTCAGCAGTTCAGGTTGCCATACTCCCTCATTGTAGCACACAAAACAAGAATAGAGAGTAAAGAGAGACAAACATAAGTGTGAAACAGAAAGAATAGTAATATGGAAGAACAATAGAATTTTATTGGGTATTATAAATCACGAAGAGTGAATGCATGTGCGCTGGTCATTGACAACGAGGATTTTGATGTATACCAGCAATTGCCTTGAGCCTTCACTGGTTTTTACCATTCTGAGGACCCCAACCAGTTAGGAAGTTTACACTTCTCCCTACGTGACTGGCTTAAACTAACTGTGGTGGATTTGATTGACTGATGAAGCCATGTTTTCGTCTGACCACCACTAGCTTTTTTCCAACCTGATCGATCCTATGCCAGTCAGCTAACATTTCCCATTGTGGAGGAAGGCGATGGCTAGGCATGCATGAATGCGTAACACATGTCCTAAGCATCTCAAGTGGTGTAACTTCACAACTTCGTCGATTGATTTCCCCTCCTTACCTAGTACTCGACTGATGTCTAATCTCAATTTCGCTCACCTCATTATTCCACCTAACGCGTTTCGCTTAAGATTGTCTTTACGCTTTGTAAATAAGTATGAACAGGTAGAAATCGTAAGTCGATGACTTCCAGTTGATTGACTTCTTTCACCTAACACTTAAACAAAAGTGTACAATGTTGTCGCTTCACCCAGTTTATTTCTCGTAATACACATTTAATTAGTGAATTTCGATGTATCCTCCGGCCTACACAGATATTTCTGTTAACAGTCTCATTTGTTAGCGTTATGTAAATTGGGTTGAATAGGAAAATGTTCTCTCTGAACTATACATATTGCCTAGTGTTGTAGCTCGTTGGTTTTAGACATTTTAGACCCCAAACTGCCAAGGTCTGTTTGGGTAGCCGGATGTGACTCATTGTCAACTGTATAGAAATGCAATTCACTTAAATTAATATGACCCGTTGCACAAGAGGTGGCTCTCGTGACCCAAGTGGTCTAGCGTATAGCGCTTTGGCGTTTGAAACTATGGGCACTGGGTTCGTGCCTCAGTGGGAAAATCATCACTCACTGGGAAATGCAGGTACATCCATTGACGAGTCCCAAAAAGGACGAAATGCGCATCCTGGATTTCACTGCTAGTCACCATCCAATGCAAAAAACAGTTGTTGAGTTACATTTCATTTCAGTATTATATACATTAATTCTATGAGTGAACTTCTTTCATTCTAATGTCAAGATTCCTGATCTACATCTCACATATGCAAACATCTCTATCTTCTTTTGTTCATTTGATTAATTTCTTTTTTGTTGATATCAGTCAACTTCAATCTTTTAATTGATATGCATATTCGATACAGTGTTCAAGAAAAAGGTGAAGGCTGAAGGATTACCTTCCCGCCTCATTTTTATTATTCTTGTTCATATTGTTATGCGTTGTAGTGTTGTTCCTTTGTTTGAGTTTGTTTTTTCTCACCCCATATACCTACCTATCCATCAGTTTTTCTTATTATTTTATTAATTCAAACTTATTTTCCTTTTCAGAGAAATTATTTTTACATACAGATATAATTTATAATCCAGAAGCTGATCCACTCGAACACTTTCCTACAGATCAGTTAAATCGTTTAAATCCTAAAGTTCTTACTGAAATATCAAAATTAAAAGAATTAGATATTCACGTTGAAGGCAATTCTCATCCACCGTCAATTGATGATATGGAAAGTTATGCAACATGTTTAGATGCTGGTGAATGGAATACAAGTTGTCATTTAAAATTAAATTATATAAATAAGGTAATTAATTGGCTCTCTTTTCTATTTTCATTTCTCTTATCCTATTTTTGAATAAATATATATTATTAAAGTAGTTGTGCACTAATCACAGTTAAAGATGCGTCGGTGGTTCAACGGTAGGCTGCTCTCTAGGCAATCTTTGCCTCTGGGTTCGATTCCCTTGCTGACGACACACTTGTAAATCTCGCGTAGACAGTACTGAGCCTGGTAAGGAGGTTAGGTTGCATGTGAGGCTGGCAACCCCACTTCGTGGAAAAGACGAACCACCACCTCGGCTGAAACTTCAAAGCTCATGTTTAAAGTCCCATGTTCCACTCAGAACTCAAACGAATGGAAAACAAAACTAGTTGGAGAGAAATTTAATGGTTACCTAGAAATAATATCTAAAATGTCTATCAATATGTTTAAGTCGACATGGTTTCATTGACTTCACACACAGCACGTTTATACTCCTGATTAGTGAATGCAACAACAGGCAACAACCTTGCCTGTGACGTCTGAAACTATACCGTTTACATTACAAAACACTACAGGTGACTTTTTTCCCCTACCGTAAAGTTTTTAGGTAGAATTTATTGAAAATTTTATTTTGTTAGCTCGATTTTATTATTTAGCATCATATAATTGAATTCTTATGTCATAATAAAACAATGTTCATTCTTTTCTGTTAGTTAAGAAATATTAATTGAGTGTTTGATATTCCAACAGACGGTAAATATTTTCCGTTAAATGTTTTTGCTTTGACGAGAACTATGCGTAGTTATCACAAGTTCATGTAATGATGGTATTATAATAATTGACTGGTCAAAAATACATTGTAACGACAGAAGACAAATGCCAGGCAACAGATCGTTTATTGAGAAAATTAAGAGATATTTATAGATTTTTATGTACATTACTGTCAGCGGAGAAGCAACGTCTTCTGATTGGCTGTTTTCTTGCTGAAGGTTATTCTGTACTGCTTGTGACCGTTTCTCAGAGAGTTAAGCCATATATCTGCGAATCCTATTTGCACACGTCAAGTTTGCTGTGATTGGTTGGCGAGTTCCTCAAGGTTAGGCTTTGTTATTGTTTTTTTCTCATGACCCCGATTCGGGACGTAAACATTGACGTAGATTGCTGTCTACAATTTATGGCTTGCAGCACAGTATTACAGACTTGTGCTCCTTAGGCAACTGTTAAAGAATATTTCAGATTTCCAGACATTGGCTTCTTAAAAGTTATGACAAGTTTAAAGTCAGAATATTTAGATTTCACAATTAGCAATTTGATCTTTTAGTCACTAACTAAAAGCTGCTTAATTTTTTACATTACTGAACGTTATCAACACTCCTAAACGTATTCACTCTCTACTTTACGGATTCTGTAGATTCTAGTTTATCATTAATTATGACTGACTGACTGAGTTTTCAATTTAGAACTTTGCAGAAAAGTGCAGCAGTTCAAGTCACCATACTCTATATAGCACACAAACATATCAAGAAAGAATTCAAAAGAACTATAATGAGCAGGAATGTACGGGAGAAAGAATAGTAACAATGGAAAACATGACTGTTTAGCGTATATGAGAGATCACAAGGAGTGAATGCGTCTGCACCATTGAAAATGAATTCCAGCCATAACACCAATTGTCCCCAGCTGTTGATTCTTATTATCTTGAAGACCCCAACCAGGAAGCCCGCATATTCCAACATGACTCAAAATAATTATCAAAGATTTCAAGGACTGATACCGAGTATTGGTTTGACCATCTCTAACTCTTTTCCGTCTTGATCCTATGTCGGTTAACACTGGTCGCCGAGGTAGGTGATGGCTCGACATACGCAATAAATGTCCTAGTCATCTCAATCGATGTAGCTTCACAGCCAGATCGATTGACTTGCACTCCTTGCCTAACACTCGACTCCTAACCTCAATATTATTCACCATATTATACCACTTAACACGGGAGATAGAACGCAGGCACCTATGAACAAAAACAACTAGCCATTTCAAGTTCTCCACTTTGAAAGTACCATTCTCGCAGCCGTAAAGCAGGATGGAGCAAACTGCTGTGCAGCACGCACACACATCCCTTCATTGGTAACCGGATATCAAGCGTACACCAAAAATAACGTAATTTGGCATATGCCACACGAACATTTTGTATCCGTACTGAGATTTGTCAGCAATAAGTCCATTCGATCTGATACAACTTCCCAAATAAGTGAGATGATCAATACACTCAACCATTTCACTGCCTATATGTTAAACTAGGAGCCGATGCAGACCAGTTGAAGAAGGACAATAACGTCTGCATACTCTAAATCAACGAGATTATTTCCTGGTATCAAATGAATCCCCAGGGTTGATTAAATTTACATCCATTAGTACATCTATGATGAAATTAAACAAGAATGCGAACAGTAGACATCCCTGACATACACCACTGGTTGTTATCACTTCACATGACAACTCTCTTTTAGCTTTAATACGACTGCGTGAATTCGTGTGGAGTGCCTTGCTTTTTGCGATATACCATCGCAGCCAAACTTTGCCATAGCTCTTCTCGGTCGATAGAGTCAAATGGTGCCTTTGGGCCATTAATTTTGTTTTAACAAGCAGGTGACTCAGTCATTGTACTGCTTTAAATTAGTTTTGTTTCCCTACATGTTTAAGTTCATAGTATATTATATTCGCATTTTCTTTGCAAACATTTAGGAGTGCTATTTACCCTGTCAACTACCAGAATTCTATGTTCGCCTAACTTCAGATTACTTACAAACTGGTCACTTAAATTGGTATTATTTACCAAAAGTGAAGTATTTACAACTTATAAGTAAATCAGTGAAGTGTAATAATGAATTGAAAAGTGCTGAAAAATACTTGGATATTTACTATAATGAATTGGATAAACAATTTGATCAAGTTAGAGCATCTTCTGATCGTCGAAGAAGCCTATTGACTATTGGTAAAACATGGGTAAGGAAAATTTCATTGATTTCTTTCTTTCTTCTTGTTTTTTTTCTCTTAATTAAAACTGATCTTTTCTCTAAATGGGCATACATATACATGTTTATTTTTCGCTACAATACAGACACTACTTATAACTGCAAATTACTAAAGCAACACAGTGTACTTGAAGGCATGAAGCCCAAATTCAAGACTTCCTACTGCAGAGTATGTAACTCACATAAATAGATACGAACAGTGTAAAAAGTATCGTTTTCAGAAAAGTACTGATGGTTTAGATGTGTGTCGGAAATTCGCCGTAAAAAAAAAACATAAGAAGAAGAGAGTTGCAGTTCTGAGAAGAACGTAGCAAGTACCAGACAATGAATATGAATTGCAGAAGTAATCAAGACATTGATCGATCCATGTCAATGTTACTCGCTTAACAGAATCTGGTCATCCAGGAAACCAAAAATTTTTTATTCAAATAAAAAATATGAGTCACGAGACAGTTGACGAGTATGACATTGGCATTAGTGATAAAAACGAATGCAAAGAGAGACAACAGGACTGAATGACAAGTGGAAGAATGCAGTAATTAGTATCAGCCATTTTGTACAGTGTGTATTTTCTTCTCCACTCACTTTCTGTCATTTATTAGGTTCCTTTGGAACAACAACTATCTTCTTATGCTTTACGAAGACACTACTCTCTATACTGCTTATGTCTATCTATGTAAATAGCTTACACACACATTATTACTACTTAAAAATCACAGCTACAATTGGCAGTTATCAAGCTACTAATATGATGTTATTTCAATTGTATATGTAGTTTTAATTAAATCTCAGCCAAAATAAAATTACATTTTAAGTGTTTATCGCTTTAGTAGTTGACCAACTTAAGACAAAATTAGGTATCAATAGGTTAGTAAATTTATAAGGAAGAACAACAGGGCTCTTTTTCATTCCTTTACGTTCTGAGGGCTTTTAGCTAGCGGCTTGAAGTTTCGGTAGCAGTGGTGATTATTCATTTTTACGGGATGGGGTTGCTTGCCTCATGCCCAACATTCCTTCTTTACCAGTCTTATTACTGGCTAAGAGTGGTAAAGGAGTGCGTCGGCGGGGGTCCGAACCCCGAACCACATAGGTGGTTGGCGAGCATTTTGCAGGACAGCAGGTGGGTATGTGCTAATTGTAATTTAGGATGTTGTCTGAACATATCGTATTCCATATTTGCATATGTATTATTGATCGTGGGTTTATTCATTACTAGTTGTCGTATTTCAGTGTATCGTTATTCTAAACTATAGTTCAAATTTTCCCCTACATCATAAGGTTATATTAAACTTCTAAAAGCCTGTAATCCGTTTCTCGATCAACCTGGGTACAATTAAGAACTGATTCATCATGATTTTAAAAGGTAAATAAGTAACTTTTGCTTCGCGAAATGTAGTGCTACACTTTAAACAGTTAGTTGGTAAGAGATTACTTACTTAAGTGTAGCGCAAACTATTCTTATTGGTCCCTTCCGTTTCGAGTGCAACATGAAACTTCGACGGCATATCTACATTCCACTTTGTTCCTTACCACCGCTTCCAACTAACTCCATGACTGTGCACAAGCTTTCATTTCCTCTTCACATGTTTACCTGCATGTCAACCTCGCACACACACACTTCCCACTCGTGTTCTGGCGGGTGATATCAATTGAAGGTCTCCTCAACATTTGTCCAATCCATCTATGTTTCCTTCTGCACATATATATTGGATAATAGGTTCTTGGCTGTTTCGCTACCTGCTAAAGTTCCTTGTTCTTTATTCTTTCTGGTCAACCGTTTGATCTGCAGTATCGAACGAAACAAGGTGGCAATTATCCAGATCGCAGAGATCCTGGACCTATTGCTGCTTTCAAAAGACTAAGCCAAATAAGCAGAATACTTTGCAGTTTAACCAACGCGGAGCAATAGAAAACGGTTGAATGCTTTCGAGATTTCATCATGAGCTAACATCGTTTAGAGAACCATTGGAGAACCCGCAGGGAGTACTGGACAGCTGTTTCGTCAGCCTAGTTTGGGACTCTTCTAAAGTACGCACCCACCGCCAGGGTTCGAACCCAGGACCTTCTGGTTACAAGGCGAGCTAGCTCGTAGACCATTAAGCCACTGGGACCCGACCCAGTAGGGTGCAGCAGGTCGGGTGTGAGGACAAATACTTGCCGAAGACATTGGCTAGTGGTCGCGCTATGTCGTGAATTGGCAAAAGTTGGAATTCATGGGCTATTGGATCGGGTCCCAGTAGCTTATGGTTAGATGGTTATATAATCAATCTATGTGTTTGAAATTCTTGTGATGCGCGTGCCTACTCTCTGAATCATATATAATCTCTTTGTCTCTCATGTTTCGTTTTGTAGAATAATGTCATCTGTACATCAGTGGCTCGTTGGTATAAAATAGACCGTGATTTATTGTCAATTGCAGCTGGCAAATCATCATCATCTACACACAAAAAAGGTCTACTGGCCGCCTACTAGCATTTTTATACCCTGCTATGCTACGCACACCGATCACATCTACATGATGATGATGATAATGAAAAATGGAAAAGTAAACAAACAAAAAGAAAACATCAAGAAATTCTGTGTTATAATAACTACAACCTTTTCTATTCTTTCTCTCTTTTAACTGTTGTTGTTGTTATTTATTGTGTACACTTTTTGATACTTTATTTACTACTATACTACTGATTGCTTACTTGAAAGTATTAGTAGTTTGTGATGCTATTTGTGAAGGAAATGATTAACAAATATTTCACCTCACAATAGGATATGTAAAATATATCTTTTTTTGTATTAGACTTTCTGTGCTATTTTATCACCTGAACGCAGAATGATTACTTCCTGCAAGCGCATACGCATACCGACTGACTAACGGTGAAGGTATCTGTGATGACAGCCTTGGCTTGGTAGACTACTATTTTTCTGACAGGTAGGTAGCTGATTGAAGATGACCCAGTTGAAAATCTGGATCACAGGGAAAGGAAAGCAAAATAACCTAAGAAAGTTGATCATTATGTTGATCTAATTCATCATCACAATAATAATTCAAGTAAGAGAAGTTGTGAGTCTAGTGAATAAATTCCAAGAAAGTACATTGCACTAATCAAGGGGAATTGTCATCTGAATTCATAACAACCAGTGGTGTCCGTTAGGGATGCCCACTTTCTCCATTTCTGTTTAACTTCATCTAGATATGCTAATGGAAGTATCCTTAAATGAACTTAACCACTTAGGAATCGACTTGTTACTAGGGAATAGTCTTATGGACTTAGAATATGCAGATGACATACTCCTGTTAGGGGAGGATGCTGACAAAATGCAGAGTCTTCTGAACACCTTGAGCAGCAATCTTCGTATGTTTAGCATGCGATTCGCCGCTGTTAAATGTAAGATGCTGCTACAGGACTGGACTACGTCAACTCCTAGCTTAGTGATAGGGAGTGAAGTGATAGAACATGTTGACCACTTCACCTATTTGGGAAGTTGTATCAGCACCAATGGATTGATTGGCGACGAAATCTCAGCACGGATCCAAAAAGCTCGAGCTGCTTTCGCTAACTTACACCGTCTCTGGCGTAGGCGTGACATCCGGCTATCAACCAAGGGACGTGTGTACTGCTCATCAGTTCGCTCCGTCCTTCTCTATGGCTCTGAAACATGGCCAATACGAGTTGAAGACATGAAAAGGTTGTCTGTTTTTGACCACAGATGTTTACGATCTCTTTCTCACGTTAGGTGGTATAATAAGGTAAGTAATGTTGACGTTAGGCGTAGAGTGTTGGGCAAAGAGGGAAAATCAATCGAAGAGGCTATAAAGTTACATAGATTGAGATGGCTAGGTCACGTGCTGCGCATGCCTAACCATCGCCTCCCCCGACGGGCATTACTAGCTGATATAGGTGCAGGTTGGAAAAGAGTAAGTGGTGGCTAAACAAAAACATGGCATCAATCCATGAAATCCTTGACAGTTAAACTGAGTCAGGTAGGGAGATGCAGACTTCCGGGTTGGGGCCCTCGGGACTCTAAGAATCAATGGTTGGAGACAATAGGTGACATGGCTCAAAATCGTTGTCAATGGCGCAGATGTATTCAGTTTCTGTAATCTTTCATATTCCTTTCTACCATTACTCATTCTGTTTCACTCTTATACTTGTCAAAACTCTATTGATTCTCTTCACCCATTTTTCTGTCTACCTTTGTGTGCTGTTTGGAACGTGGCAACTCGAGCTGCTGCACTTCGGTGCCAAGTTCTATGTTGACCCCAGACAGACAAACAGTGAATAAATTCGATTTGTAACAATTTATAGAAGCACAGGAAGATAGAATTAAGTTAGGGAGTAAAAATGCATGGAATAATTATGTGAAGTTGGCTTCTTTGTACCCATTACAAATTGTTGTGCTTAGTATTGTTTGATTACGGATCTCGTTTAATTAAGATTAGTGATCAAATGTAAGTTGTTGCCACAATAGTGGAATACACCGACTCCTTGCTTAAAGATAGGGAGTTAGGTGGTAGAGCTTGTTGATCACTTCACTTATTTAGAAAGTTGCATTGGATCTAATGAACTGATTGCTGACGGAATCTCAGCACAGATACAAACGGTTCGTGTGGCATATGTCGACTTACATCATCTCTAACGTAGACGTGATATGAGGCTATCCATCAAATGACATCTACTACGCAGTAGTTCTCTCTGTCCTTCTTTATGGCTGTGAGAAATGGCCATTGAAAGTTAACGATATGAAAAGGCTAGATGCATTTGATCATGGGTGTCTGCGTTCTATTTCCCGTGTTAATTGGTATAATACGGTGAGGAATATTGAGGAAGGTAAGTCAGTCGCTGAGCTTGTCAAGGTGAATCAATTAAAACGGTTAGTACATGTGTTGCGTATGCCGAGGCACCGCCTTCCTTGGTGAGCAGTGTTAGCTGACATAGGATCAGGTTGGAAAAGAGCTAGTGATGCCCAAACCAAAATTTGGTATCAATCAATGAAATCTTTAGCAGTTAGGTTGAGCCATGTAAGGGGATGTAGGTTTCCTGTTTGTGGTCCTCGGGATCCTAAGAACCTATGGTTGGGGACGATTGGTGAAATGAATCGACATCATTCGAGACTGTAGATAATCCACCCTGTTGATGATTGTGAACACATAAGAAACCTAGGTCTAGGAATTCGCACTGGTTTATTCCTACTAGTTGACACCAAAACGGAGGTGTGCAACTGTGTCGTGTCACCTAGTCAGTAGACTTCGGGCAATGCAGAACCAGGCGACCATATAGGTGAGTAACCATTGATCATTTGGTATAAAATAAAACACGCATTTCAAGTATAATAACTGTACCAGTAAATCATGTCTGCAATGGTGTGGATCTATCTGTTATCCATCATCCAAATTCTGAACACCACATTTAGGTCAATAATAAGGTTTATGTGTGGCATATGTCATCAAAGCATTTCTGGTCCAATTTGTGGTACTGTTCTTTTCCAATTTTATTATAAGACGACGTGATCGAATTATTCAAGGATCTGTTGAAATCCCTACAGTACTTAGTCATTTTAAAGGCATAGTTATGAAAGACCATGAACGTATAAAATGAATTAATTAAACGTAATTCTGTTAATGCAAAGTTGGTATCTGCTGGACTGTTCATTTAGTTAAAATGAAATATAACAGACAGGTTTTTCGTATGACTAAGTACAGCAAATTCCATCACTCCTGAATAGACTGCATCTGAGTGACCTGTCGTCACACTAAACTGTTCCTTTCTCTCAACTGTTCCAAGAAAACATCAACTTCCATGGTCAGGGATATCGGGAAGAATCAACTGACAAACGTACTTCCATCAATCTACAAGATCATCTGTTAATCACCTAAGTCATACATCTTGCTTTTCTCAAACTACACCCTCTTCCTCCAATTACAGTTATTCACTCAACCCAGTCGATTAACATGATACCTTTTCAATGTTCAACCTATGAGTGTCAAGATATTTTCCGGCTAGTTTTTGTAGAATTGCTGGTGTAGGTATCACATTCAACTTTAGATTTGTGAAACTCACTGTTCAATTGCAGATCAGCAGATAGCTACTTGTGTGCGCTGTGGTTGAATTGGTCCATAAGGATAATGGAAGGTCTTGATACTTAATGCCGCCTTTGTGTGGTCCTCGCTTATATACCTACTGGCTGTAGTACGAACTATGTAAGGGGTTAGTTTCAATCCAAGTTTTCTGGCTTGTTAAAAAAAGGGATAATCCACAGATGTAGTCATACCAGTAGATGATCTTAATGCTTGTTTAAGAAGGCCGCGTCAGTCGGAAAAGTATTTTTGAACCGTCTAGTTTCCCATTTTGACAGGTCGACAATGGTGTTTGCGTTTATTCTACTGGTTCCTAAGAGTCACCAGACAAAATTCGGGTGGTCTAGGACGTTTTGGATTGAGTCTGGCCGAGTGAATCAGCTGATGAGCTCAACCCCAAGTAAGGCCAATGGCTGTCTGGTATTTAGACTACTTTGATCTAGCCAGCAAGCACTAGTGGCTAACATGAATAGTCTTCGACCATTCATTAATTGGCCCTACATAGCCAGTTAAAGTTGCTAAAGCTATGTTTAGTCTAAAGTAATGCAAAGCAGCAGGACCTAATGGTCTGAATCTGGAGGTGTTTAAAGGCTGATTGATACTGACTAGGTCAAATAAGGTATTAGATAGCGTAAGGGAATTCAAGGTAATCGCATCAGAATGGTGTATCTTATTGATCATGCTAGGTGATAGGAAAGAGAACCGATATTCCTGTGCTAATCACAGTTTGATTGATATAATATCTAAGATCCTAGGGCTTAGTCATACGAAGACTAAACCGGAGTCAAAAAAACGAACTAGGGAATCAAAGAGCTTTTAGGTTCGGATGAGGATTCATTGTTTAAATCTCAATCCCTTGACGCTCTTTGGAAAACTAACATACTGTGGTCCTACATTTAGCATGTTTCTTAGCGTGAAGAAGGCATTTGACTCGGTTCGTCTAGAAGTGTTTGGTTATATCTAGGGTCTTGAGAAATATTATGAGACTCAAAGTAATCTACGCATGTAAGATCTCATCGAGGTGGCGTGTTTCGCCAAAGCTAAATGGCATGATTCTTAACTAAATTGTAGAAGTAGTGACAGATATGACTTTCATTTCACGGAAATTGAGATTTTCCCGAAAGATGATCTTATTGCCTCGGAGTATGCAAGTGGTATAGTCCTCTGACTCTGCGTCGGTGGCACAGCGGTAGAATGCTCGCCAACCACGCAGGTGGTTCGGGGTTCGATTCCCGGCCGACTCACTCCTTTACCTCGCTAATGTTACTAAAACTTCAAAACTCTAGCTCGAAGCCCTATGTTACACTTCGAATGTAAAGGAAAAAAGTAGTTCTTTAACACTGGTCAACCACCGCAGCAATAATCTACATATTTTAGACATGCGGTTCATCTCCGTCAA